AAAAAGTTGTACCGCCCCAGCCACCTTAAATCAAGCTAATTTGAATTTTCGGTTGTTCCTGACGATTACCACCGAGGACGTTGTCGTGCCTCCGTGTATAACCTTCCTGGTCCAGTACCACGCGACTAGGACGCATGCGCACGCGCGCGCGCGCGCGAGAGAGAGAGAGAGAGAGAGAGAGTGAGAGAGATACCGACAGACAGAGAGAGAGGGAGAGAGAGAGAGAGAGAGAGAGAGAGAGAGAGAGAGAGAGAGAGAGAGAGAGAGAGAGAGAGAGAGAGAGAGAGAGAGAGAGAGAGAGAGAGAAAGGGAAAGAAAGAAAATGAAAGTAATTGGGAGAGAAAAAGAGTGCTAGATAATGAGCCTAGGTAGCTATGGAACATATGGAAACGCACGTAGCTATCCAGGCCAAAGGACAAAATGTGTCATATGGGCTGGCGGCGAGCTAGTGCATGGATGTACAGGAGTGATGACCTAACGCAAAGTTAACTGCTGCAACACCACTAATAAGACTCATGTGCAGTATGTTGAAATGCTCGAAATTATTAATTGCGCTCCGAATTTTCTGTGATTAGTGCCATGAAACCAGGTTGTCCAAGCTACAAACAGTCTGGGTCGGTTCATATTTTCTTGGCCTCCACTCCTTGTGTGTTCCTTCTGCCTTTGTTGCTGCAGTTATATTTCTGCTTCCCAGTAATAAAACGTAGCTGGGGAGATAGATTCACAAGTAAATTAGTGCTGGCAATGTAGCTCATATCTGAATGCGCCTATACACAGATGAATGTTTCGTTTGCAATTCTCGACAGCAGGTGATTTGCGAGTCGATGTTTCGCGTGGCGTATTGCCTCACACTAGAGCGCAATCGTCAATCGCAAACATCCTCTGGACAGCGCCAAGTCGTCAACACCAAGTCGTCAACGCCAAGTCGTCAACGCCAAGTCGTCAACGCCTGGTCACTCATGAGTAGTTACCCTTCAGTAATAGAGGAAAAAGAAATAAGCAAACCGAAGAAAGGTAGCATCATTAAAACCGAACTATACAATAAGCCGGAAATACAAACAGAATAGCAATGAAGCTTGCGAACCAGACCCTGTTTCTATCCCTACGTGACATTGTGAAAATACACCCTTCCTGTCTTCCTCGTTGCATCGCTCTCCAGTCAAAGCTGCCTTGGCTGGTTGGCGATTGGTCCTGTTTTCACAATACATATCATTGTCAATAAACGCTACATTAATAAAAACACAGCCAGAAGAACAAGCAGTTGCTTTTCTGTAACTGAGTTTCACGAACTGAATCGATCGTTAAACGAAAATTGATACTGACCCTGTCCTGGGAGTACTGTTATACCATCAACGTGGCAAGCCCAGCGTAGCAATTACCATGTGATAAGTACAGTTATAAATAAAGACGTTCCACACAATGTGGAGCAACTTTACATAAGTGGAAAACCCATCACTACGTTGTGTGGAACTCCTCTATTATGTAACCCGGTGTAACCCTGTGTAACCCTGCGTAACCCTGCGTAACCCTGCCTAACCCTGCGTAACCCTGCGTAACCCTGTGTAACCCTGTGTAACTCTGTGTCGGCGCCCAGCAGTACTGTAGACTTTGCATGCCCATGCGAGTACTACTGAAAATGTCACTTACTGTTGTGAATACTGAAATATGGTGAGAGGTCCAGCGGCCATGGGGCACTGGCCTTGCAGACGCGGGCCTACTGGTATCTCTTAGCCTGTCACCAGGAAACCCTATATATAGGGTTTGACATAACGCTACACATAAAGACCCTATATATAGGGTTAGGACCCCTAAAGAAAGGGTTTGATCAGTCCTCACAACTGGGCACACAATACACACAGTTTCACTTGTTTGTTTTTTTTGATATTTTCACTGGATTGCCATTGATGTTAGCAGGAGCGCTCCTACGACGTGCGCGAGTGTCGCCGCATTTGCTGCTTCCGACCCAGGTGTGGATCAGCTGATGCAGAAACGGCAATGGCGGGAGCGGCAGCTGCGACAGCCGCTGTTGATGCTTCGCCTTCTTCTTCAGGAGCATCCGACGCTGCTGGAACATCGACATCATCATCCTGAGTCAACACCAGGTCGCCAGGAACATTCTCATCGCCCGAGTTCGTCTCCACTAACTCAAGTTGCTCTTCCTCCATCGTGAAAAATCAAACCCTAGATATAGGGTTTAGAAAATGTTACGACAGCGCTGCACTAAAACTAACCGTACTCGAAGAAAACAGCAACAAAATGATCACGGTCTTCAGCAAGAGAACCGTACGTACATTCTACGTATGTAGGCCCAGGCGTCTAGTTGCCATAGCAGCCAAGTGGGCTCTCAAGAGAGCTCAAGATAGAACGCGCGGCTGAAAACCCTATATATAGGGTTTGACAGGCTAAGAGATAGCACTGTGAACGTGAACCAGTTGTTCATGTGCTCGCTTTGCTAATGATTGATTTATTGCTGGGTAGAAGCAACATATATATATATATATAAAAATAAGAGAGCGAGCTGCAGTCATTCCAACGGATTTCAATGTTCTCAACAGCTGCTTTTTGTCTATGGTGGTTTAGTGAAATATCTCTTGTGTAGCAAAAGGTACACTAATGCTTAGTTTTCCCTCTGTCAGCACCGAAATTATGTGGGTATCCTTCTCATAATTTCTACAACACATGGTGTATCAAACCGTAGTTGCGATTTAAAGGTGATTTGACTCCTAACTAACATAAAATCTTCTTGGTTTGCTCTCTGTTTGTTTTCCTTGTCGAGGTGTTGTCACTACAGCTGGGGCACAGGCTTGATTGCTGAACATTCGCAAAACTGGGAGCGTTTTCACTGGTTTGATGTGGACATCATCGATACCTTGTCTCCCCCCCCCCCCCCTCTCCACCCGGCCCTTGTTAGTGGAGTGAGTGGCACTGTGTTATATTAATTTATCATGACAATATATCCTTGCATGTCGAAATATGGCCGATGAATCAGTTGAGATGAAGGATGAGAGCCTTCTATTCAGGTGTGTGTTGCTACACTCCAGACACACATTTGAGCACGGCTTGGCATGCCGCAGTATGAAGGATGAGAGCCTTCTATTCAGGTGTGTGCTGCTACACTCCAGACACACATTTGAGCACGGCTTGGCACGCCACAGTATGCAGGATGAGAGCCTTCTATTCAGGTGTGTGTTGCTACACTCCAGACACACATTTGAGCACGGCTTGGCATGCCGCAGTATGAAGGATGTGCGCCTTCTATTCAGGTGTGTGTTGCTACACTCCAGACACACATTTGAGCACGGCTTGGCATGCCGCAGTATGAAGGATGAGCGCCTTCTATTCAGGTGTGTGTTGCTACACTCCAGACACACATTTGAGCACGGCTTGGCACGCCACAGTATGCAGGATGAGAGCCTTCTATTCAGGTGTGTGTTGCTACTCTCCAGACACACATTTGAGCACGGCTTGGCATGCCGCAGTATGCAGGATGAGAGCCTTCTATTCAGGTGTGTGTTGCTACACTCCAGACACACATTTGAGCACGGCTTCGCATGCCGCAGTATGCAGGATGAGAGCCTTCTATTCAGGTGTGTGTTGCTACTCTCCAGACACACATTTTGAGCACGGCTTGGCATGCCGCAGTATGCAGGATGAGAGCCTTCTATTCAGGTGTGTGTTGCTACACTCCAGACACACATTTGAGCACGACTTGGCACGCCGCAGTATGCAGAATGAGAGCCTTCTATTCAGGTGTGTGTTGCTACACTCCAGACACACATTTGAGCACGGCTTGGCATGCCGCAGTATGCAGGATGAGAGCCTTCTATTCAGGTGTGTGTTGCTACACTTCAGACACACATTTGAGCACGGCTTGGCAAGCCGCAGTATGCTACAGTATGTCCACATGTTGTATATCCATTAGTCCATGTTGATCGCTCTGGATTTCGCCTTCAACGATCTCAGTTCTGTCCGTACTGTGGTTCCCTATTTCTACTAGGTGTTATCATACGTGCTATATGTATTTGCCTTCTGCGCTATTATTTTCTCTTTGGCTGACAGATTAAAAAAATGTGCATTCTTCTTTCATCTATACATGTGTTAAGCGAGTCTTTCCTTTGCCCATTCCATGCACACCGCTTCAATGTGGGAATGATGTTGAAACACGGTACAAATATACTTCTCTTATTTCCACACATAATCTCCTCTCAACCTGCCTGCCTTGAGTGAAGAAATAAGCATTAGCATGACTGCCTTGAGTGAAGAACTAAGCGTTAGCAATGCCGATTGGCTGTTCGGGTGCCTGGTGTGCTGATGAGTCAGAAAGTCGTTTCATCAGGTGCAAGAAACTACTGGGACGATATCCTCTGTCTCCAGCCCTGAATGTGTAAACTCCATGTATTTCCTTTCCCACCTGGTACCCAGGAAAGATATATCGGTGTCGTTTCTCCAGAGAGTCAGGGACAAGGGTGCAGTTGAGATTCGGGCTTGTTCTGTGTTTTCTGTTCTGTAGTGTGACTGCATTGTTGTGAGTTCAATTCCAGGTAGGATTTTGGAAAAAGAAAGAAAAACGCAATCAGTTGCCAGATAGTGGGATATGATACATAATTATGCAGTAGTTGCATGTTTAAGATTGATAAATTTTTGACATGATGTCATTACAGTGGTCCTGCATGTCCGGGCAATATTACTTGAACACTCTTTCTGGTTCATTCCAGTTTTCCTTTTTTCCTTATGGTGTTTCTGAATCAGAGCAGCAGAGCTTATTTCTAGACATGGGTATCGCGGTAAGAATGTTGGTTCTTTCACAAGACCCCACCATCCTCCCTTTCTGGACCACTCAACATATAGACATTCTTACTCACGGGGCAGCGTTCTCAAAACTCATCGCCATAGCGACTCGAGCGGCATCGCACGCTGTTCATGCACACCCACGCACCACCCGCCGATTCATCTCGGCACACACAATGGATAGGCAAACGGAAACAGATCGGAGTGCGAGGTTGTTCTACTTGTATTAGATCTCCATGGTAACCATGTCAAGTGAATAATTTATGTGAGAAACATCTACATGATTGTATAACATGAAAGGAAACATTAGGTACCTGCAGAGCACAGATATTGGGAAAGGTGAGATGGCAATATTGTTTTTGGCTCCAACGTTGAGCGCAGATACATACATGTAGACACAATCCTCGAATATAACCAAGTATGACGCAGATGCAGCTCTACCAGCACATGCAAAGGTCAGATATAGTGACTGGCGTTGCCGGTATCTGTACAGATCATCCTTGGGCAGCACGGTCTCCGTAAGGATATCTGCAGCTGACTACTCATTGCATAAATATTCAAAATGATCCAGGAACGTGGCAGCAACGTAGCGTGCAATGCTGACCTTTCGCTTGCCCAAGGGACCGTGAACCAAGTCTGCTCTCAAGAAATGCAGGGTAGACCAAGCGGGGGACACGAAACGTTGAAAGTGAAGTGTCCATATACGTATGGAGCAAACACATGCTGTGCACTAGTTCAGCTAACCTATAGCAAAGAAATTAGTTGAAACACTCTCAGGCTGGATCACTCACAGGCTGGATGGAGCACGGTCATTGCCGAATGTCCCCACTCACAGGCTGGATGGAGCATGGCCATTGCTGAATGTCCCCACTCACAGGCTGAATGGAGCACAGTCATTACTCGATGTCCACTTGGTCATGGCAAGAACCTAGATCACGGCTCACGCTGAACACAGAGACCTGGAGCAACTGACTCTGAGTGAAGCAGATATCTTGATTGCAGATCAGGCTGATCAGGCTGATCAGGCCCGCCGTGTGTGACCTTCAAACACCCGCCTGTAATGAGGGGAATGGATAGCAAAAAAAAGGGACAATGCTCAGTAGGACAATGTTCAGTAGGACAATGCTCAGTAGGAAAAGACCCGGCACCCTCCTGAGTGGGAAACCCCGAAGCAGATTCTTAATCGTACTTGTGACTGGTCATCCCTGAAGTGGCGTCGTCAGATTCTGTCCTTGCTGTATTTTCATCATGTGTTTTACCAGTTTCCGTCTTTGCTAATTCGTTTCAAATTCAATGTATCCCTTAGTTGTCGTCACCCGTCCTCTATAGTTTTACCTCGTTCTGGCGCCCATTTCCTTAAATCCCCTCTCTTCAGTTTATCTGTGGAATGGAACAAACTTCCAGAACACATCCGCTGCGTTCAGTCCTCTGTCAATTTTCGCATTGCTCTAAAGGCTCATTACTCTCAGCATAGATATTCTCTGACTGGAATTCCGAACTTTTCCGTTTGAGAAATTTTTTTCCTTGAAATTAATCCTTGCTGGGTTTTTTTCATCTAAATGTCCCGCTATTATCTGCAGAGGTGATTTCTTCCCTCGTCGATTTCTTTCCTGCTTTTATACCTCGATATTTAGGTACTTGTTTCCCTTCTTCCCATGCTTCATCTTCCACTCTCCTCTCCCCATTTCCCCATTTTTCTTGCGATATTTATGTGGGAGACTTCCGTGATAAGCATCCATTTGCTTTTGGAGAATCCTTTTAAATAAATACAATACAATGTTCAGTAGGACAATGCTCAGTAGGACAATGTTCAGTAGGACAATGCTCAGTAGGACAATGTTCAGTAGGACAATGCTCAGTAGGACAATGTTCAGTAGGACAATGCTCAGTAGGACAATGTTCAGTAGGACAATACAGTAACAATTCAGCTACACCATTAGATATCCAGGGGAGAACAATTCGACGGGTTTGTGCACCGGGCAGGTCAAGAACAAGGATTCGTACAACTCCCCGGTCAAGAACCACCTTTCCGCTTCCGTGGGACGCCACCACCCCATGATCAGGCGTCAGTTGCGGTTCCTAAACGGTGGGGAGGATAGATCAGATCCTCCAACCCGAGGCAAAAGGCGTAAATCCCATTTGCCACATCCAGGGAAACATGGTAGAATTCCATGACAAAAGAATTGCGGAGCTCCCGAAGTGAAAGCCTTTGTGGATGATTGTACCAGCTCATGTGAGAATATAAATGTAGGTGTTCCTAAACTGGAATGCAAGCGAGCTGGTAAAAATGACTAGCAACTGAAATATTAAGTCAAGACGCCTGAGAAAACAAAACATTGAACTTGTCTACTGATTACAGACTTCAAGAGATTGAAAGAGAACAGGCAATGCAGATCTAAGAGTTTCAGGAGCGGTGCACGTTCAAATTATGCCATGGACCCAGAAGTGAAGTTCCGCGCGAGGGCACCTTTTGCAGTTCATGTTGTCAGCTACCACTCAAAGTAACATCAGGCGAATAGGGGGACAACATACCATGGGCAACTAGAGCACGAGCGCGTCCGAGGACTCGACCATGCTCACTAACAACTAGCTTGACGGAAACCGCATTTGGAGTGTTGTACGGGGACCAAAACAATTTTTCAGCATTGTCGACAACGGGAACATCCACCCACTCCCCAACTCCTCCGCTAGTCTTCATCAGCAGACTTCCTGTTTCCAATTTCCAAACAAATCTGTTGTTCATGAGGTCTTTGTCATGTTTGAAGCAGAGCATTTCTGTGAGTTTGTATCTCTGTCTCTGTTGATGTTTGGACCTGAAGATCTCTTTATAAGCTGTGCTATTCAGGGCCAACCTTCCTCAGTCTACTCGAGCTCAACTGAGGAGGGGTGGATATCCCGAAACGAGAGAGCTTGGAAGCTCAGGGCCCTACGCTATGCTTTTTTGCCTTGATGACTTAGACAAAAAAAGCAAAGGGATGTTATAAATTCTTATAAATTTCTACTTTGTGTTTTTAGACGTAACCTGGGATTCGAACCCGCACTATCGCCCTGCATGCATCCCCCGATTCACTTCGCCTACATACTAATTCTTCCAAGTTGCTTCACGTTATGATCTTGTATTTGAAAGCCCGGTTTGAATATGCATTGTGGCCAGCCGTCTTTGATTGTACGGTATGGTACGGGACAGTTACGGGACAGGTACGGGACAAGTACGCGACAGGTACGGTAGAGGGTAGTACGACACCATCTACCGCCTTGATGACGGCAAAAAAAGAATAGAGATGTTATAAATTTTTCAATTCTCCTATTTTTTCAGGCATTACCTGGGATTCGAACCCGCACTATCGCCCTACATGCATTCCCCAATACACTTCGCATTCATACTCATTCTTCCAAGTTGCTTCACGTTATGATCTTGCGTTTGAAAGCCCTATTTGAATAGTGCGGCCAGCTGTATGTGGCCAGCTGTGTTTGATGGTACGGTACGGTACGTGACAAATACGGGAAAGCGCCAGGCGTGACACAAACACACAAACACACAAACACCAAATTAAAGCTGTGTGGACCCTTGCTAGCGCCAGACGTTACTGAAGTAACGTCTTCTGCATAGCTACGGGAATAATGTGTATTGAGCAGGGAGTGGCGCTTTGCCGAGTCGAAGATTCGAGGGTCTTCTCGTGTGCTCGAGATGGCTGTCGCGAGCAGTCAATTGTCAAGTAAAATCATTACTCATTACCCTTCTTTTCAGGAATTGCTATAGTCGATTCTTCCCCATTCTCACCCAGACTGGAATTGGAATCATGCAAACAATGTCGCGTGCACCAAAGAAACGCGCCAGAGAGAAAAAAAGCGTTGGCATGACTTTGAAAGAACTTCATAATGACACCAAACGAATACAACACATAGAGAAATTCATGAAGAGAAATCCGATGTGTGAAAAAGGTGACCACGCCATTCTTGCTCTCTACCTACGTCATCATACGTGCTATTTAAACCGATATAGAAGTCTTTGCTATCCCTACTGCAAGGACGGTACAATCAGTTTGAATAGGAACTACAGGTGGAATCCTGAAAATTCGAACCTCAAAATGCCAGGAAAAACTTCTAATTATCCGGACATTCTAATTATCCAAACATGAACCCACAACACAATATGTATGTCAAAATGCTCAAATGGTAGGCACTTCAGCCGGTTTTTTCCAGTCGGGTTTCTCCCAGGTTTAGCATCGTAAATCGACAGTGGTGGATATCACAAGGTCACACACAAAATTTCATTGAAATCCACAAAGACACAAGTGAGATATGAAGGGTTGAAGAGAGGCAATTGCATAAGGCGAAAACAATACAATTTGTAGTACCAACAGCATCCCCAAAGTGTTATCAGTGGATATAGTTGCAAAACTTCAGAGTGGCATTTTCGAACACACGGCTCTCACAAACACCAACAAGTGTTTATGGATGAACAAAATACTGATCAAAGTTCACAATAGTCCAGAATACGGCAATTGTTACCACAATCACCATAGCAACCCCATAGCAACCCATAGTAACCCATGGCAACCCCATAGTAACAGCTTCGGTTTGCTGTGAAATTAGCTAATATCGACATAGAGTTCACCAGCAGGCCACTGCTGCTGCTAAATGCTATAAAAGGCATTCTTCTGGCACTCAGAAGGTAAGCACACCGAGATAGCATACGCAAAATGAATTGAAAGCGGAATTTCTGCATACACAACGCACATGCACACGTTAACGCCACTTCAAACAGAGGTTCGATGTTGGAAACCAGTTTCTCTATTGGCAGCTCCTTTGTACCAGTAGAAAGTGCAAACTAAATTACTTTGGACCTTCTGCAGCAGAACGAACTTGCAGAAGTGAAGCTGCGAATTGAGAGCAAGGCCCGTGTGTTCGTCAGTGACACAGAACATTTTTGAGAGCTGCTCCTGTGCTGCCTCCTTCGAGATCCAGAGTCCACCTACAGCTGTGATCTCCGTCAAAGTCTCCTTTTTCTTTTGATGTTGTTCTTTCTTGCGTGTGCTGCCTGCCTCCTTCTCCTTCACTTGCTCCATACAGCAGTCATGAATTGTCTGCTGGCGAGCCTCGAGATTCCCACAGAATTTTGGTGCAGCGCGCCTGGATGCGTCGATCAAAGTGTCCCTCTCATCAGCGGATTTCTCCTGTAGCCACTGTGCCGTTTGATTGTTCGTAAACATCAGTAGCCGTTCAAGCACAACAGGGTCAAACATTGGCTTTCAGCACGCTTTGAAAACTGGCTCAGGTAGGACGACGACGCATCTTTCTTCTCCGCCTCAAGCCCTTCTCCTCACTATCTACGTCCATATTTCCTCCTTGCGCAGCTATGCGCAAACCCTGGTGAACAAGAACTCAACTGTTTCTGAATGGAAACACGACGCTGAAGACGATAGGCAACGTTTCCAACGCGTACTAACAACATTTCCTTGTGAAAAAACTCTTTGCTGGAAGTGTACATGATCTGCAAGTCGCAAAAATGTACGCACTATGACGTATGTAGGCTCTACTGAAAGCTGAACGCCAGAGCAGTACGATGCACTGAACTACAGGCCCGTGCAACGAAGCATGGTGCGTACCTGTACAGTTTTGCACAGGCACTTGAGTGATACCACGCAAGTACGCACTCTCACCTTAGCCAAATTTGACAGATCTTGTCACGTGACTGAAGTGCCTACAAATGGTCACGCAGAGTTGCGCTATGGACCTTAGACACATATTTCACGGATACTGAGCTGACCGGCACAGCCTGCTCATGCAAACTGAACTGACCAGTACAATGTACAGTGAACTTCGAATTACACTTTGCTTACTTCGAATTATCAGCACAAATCCCACACATTTTTTATGTAAGTAGAATCTGTGGGACTTCTCATTAACCGAACATATCCAGTTCAAGGTTCAAATTATCAGAATTTTTTGTGGGACTCGTATTGATAGAAATCGGTCCTGGAAAAACTTCTAATTAAGCGGTATGTTCGAATTAAGCCATATTCGAATTATCAGGATTCCACCTGTACTAGTCTGTTGACCTTGGCGAAGAATATGCATAGAGGGGGCCCTCAGCTGGCACCTTTCTTGCTCATTGGATACAATCTTCATTTACAGGTTCTTCCTCCGCGTCATCGAAATTGTCGCAGTTTAACTTTTGATATAAAACGGGGTATTTATTCACCAGCAGTCGTACCACAGGTAAGGAATCGGCTACAGACGACAGTCAGCAGTATAGGGTGACGGCAAAGTTCTATTTTCTGTTGATGGAATGGTAAAAGTTTGAACTCAACGCAATCTTTTCACTGATGTCGCTACGATGGTACTTTCGACTAGGTGAGATCAGTCAGTCTTTGTGGCCTGCACATTCCTCGTGCTTTTACTAGTAACCATCCACTCAAAAGCTCATCACTGTTTTACCTGAGCTGCGGTAAGAATTACTTCGTGGAACAAGCGGCAGCGCTTGGAGAAACATTGAGGGGTCAGCAAACTAATGCGGGCAAGAGCGATAAAGTTGAATTTTGCTGCAGAATGAAATTTTTTCGTCCATTGAAAGCAGCGACGACGACACCTTCATCTCCACGTAAAACTGTCAGTCCAACTGTCCTGGAACGTTACTCTGGACTTCAGACTATCATCTTGTTTAATAGTATTCGTATGGTTTAGCTTATGGAAATGTCAGTAACAAGTCACAAGTCACTAGTCAAACTGTGACAATTTAGATGATGCGGAGAAAGTATTAAAAAAACCACTCCCGTTCAAGGGCATCTCTGCCCTTCGAAATTGTACAACTCAGATAACTTCAATTTAGGAAATAGAATTCACCATGTCATGCTAATGCCGGGAGCATTTTGCTCGAAATATCCAACATATACCTCAATATATCTTTGCTCGTACTTTACGGAAGACGCGCATGATATGACCCGCCTTACTCATACTCGTACAAAAAGTCATGGTCTTTCACATACATAGTCACGAGATTGGGCATGTCGGACGACAGCCAGCTGGCTGTTATGACCCGGACAACATCCCCCCCCCCCCCCCCCTTACGCACACACAAAACTCCCCCCCCCCCCCCACACACACAAGTAACTTCCCTCCCCCCACACACACACCTAACCTCCCCCCCACCCACACATACATACCCCCTCACCCCCCCCCCACACACATATATCCCCCCCCCCCCACACACACACATTGACACATCCCCCCCCCCCCCCCCCCACACACACATTGACACATCCCCCCCCCCCCCACACACACACATTGACACCCCCCCCCCCCCCCCCCACACACACACACATTGACACCCCCCCCCCCCCCCCCACACACACACACGAACACAAACACAAACATACGGACTGTAGTCATGGCCAGCAATTGAGGACATCTGAGAGTTGTAATTTTTGTACTCCTCCGAGGTGTGATTTTTGGCGTGCTGGGCCAAGCACAAGGAAGCCATCTGCAAAAAAACTGCAGAAAATGGTTGTTGTTTGATCCTTTGGTGTAATCTTTGTTTCTAGTCGAAGGTAGTTGCTGTTTGGAGCAGAAACGCTGAAATTGACTATTTTCTGCATGTACTCATACATGTACTCATGTACTCAGGCATGCAGTCTCACTCGTATTTTAGCTCTTTTTCTGGAATGGATGCTGCTCTGCGCCCCTTGGTGAACATTTCCTGCGCTCGTGGAGCAGCTGAAAAGGACCACTGGTATGTCTGGTTCCTGGTTTGAAAGTGGAGAGTCGACTTTTGTGCCTTGAAAAAGGAGTAGAGAGCGATAAAGGTACGTCTGTGGCTTATTTTTGAGTGCTCCTCGTACATTTTTGATCGTGATAGAAATTCTCAGACCAAAGTCAGACCAAAGTCAGACCAAAGTCAGCGCGATGATGGCCGTACAGTTTTCTTGTGGATTTTTTAGTTGTTTCATCTCGTATCTATGTCAGTATCGTGATGGTGAAGTGGAGAGGGTGATTTTCTTCCTCTAGGCTGCGTTCGGCCGACTTTGCTTCGTCCTCGTTGAAAAGTGATCTTGAAAAAAAGGTCGATTCGCAAAATTATGTTGATTTTCAATGTACGTGATGACATGCGATTGCTGGCAATGTGTTGTAGACCTTTACCCTATGCCTGATGTCACTCTGTGACGTCATTTGCATACTGTAAAACTGGAAAGTCTAACGACCAAAATGTTTAACGTTTTTGTAATTTTGGCATGATAACGTGCAGAAAATTTAACGATGGCTACCTGGCCACCAAGAATATGCATCGATGTATGTGCATTTTGACACGCTGGGTTCGGGATAACGTTTCTTCAAATAGCGAATAAAAATTGGTCGTTAAAACGTTAGACTTTGCGGTTTTACAGTAGCGCAGGGAATAGAAGCAGCTGTGAATCCACCACTAATAAAATAATATGTTTAGCATAGCAGCTGAACACTGCACGTGCGTTCATTGTCAAAAGGTTAAACACTCGTGTATGCTTTTGCAACATGTCCAGAATGAACTCGGATGGAGAGCCAAGGAATATTTATGAAAAGTAAAAAGGACCAAGGAACTACAAGTTGCACTATAATGTTTAGTAACTGGTGATGTTGGTGGAGATTCTAGCATAACTTGTAGTTCCTTGGTCCTTTTCACTTCAACCTGTCCTGCACAAGGAAAACTGTTCCTTACCCGATCCCTTCGTGCAAACTCGGTTGACCAGATTTTGGGTTAAGGGGATCTTCGCTGCATCGCAGTATTGGTGAACTCTTTCCTAAATGATCCCAGTCAATTGAGAATAACATCTCAATTGAAATTTCCTAAAGGAGAACCCTTGAAGTTAAGAAAATTCCTGAGGTTCGAACTTCAAAGGGTTTGAAAACTCCATCGCAACCGTCTACAAATTATACTACTCAGTCACACATGGCCTCTGCCACTTTAGAATGACACAAAAGTTTCTTGACTTACGCCAAAGATAGGCCATGGCTTTGGTGAATTTGACATGAAGTTTGCATCATCATCGTCGTCGTCAGCAGCAGCAGCAGTAGCCCTGTGGTGTTGGCATCGGCGTCAGCCTAACCTTCGCCTGGGCCACGCCCAGTGTTAGGCATGATACCAGCAGAAAACGGGAGAAAAGAGAGAAAGAAACAAAGGACAAGGATATGATTTGAAGAAGGGCTGAGGCTTCCTGCAGCTCCATCTGTGAAAAGAATTCGGGTGGACACACCCATTCCCATAGCGCTGCACATCACATCCGAACCAGTTCCGTTATTACCTGACGATGGCCAAGTGCAGGTAATAACAATGAATTCATTGTTATTACCTGACGATGGCCAAGTGCCGAAACAGTGTAAAATAACGAAACTGGTTCGGATGTGATGTGCAGCGCTATGGGAATGGGTGTGTCCACCCGAATTCTTTTCAAGGATATAATTATGGCAGTAAAAAGGATTAATTCCTGTAGCTATGCAGAAGACGTTACTTCAGTAACGTTTGGCGCTAGCGAGGGTCCACACAGCTTTAATTCCCGTAGCTATGCAGAAGACGTTACTTCAGTAACGTCTGGCGCTAGCCAGGGTCCACACAGCTTTAATTTGGTGTTTGTTTGTGTGTTTGTTTGTTTGTGTCACGCCTGGAGCTATCCCGTATCTGTCCCGTATCTGTCCCGTATCTGTGACTACAAAGGCTCTACAGGATTGTGCATAACAGCTGTCCACAATATTTGCGGGCTCCTGTATCTGTCCCGTACCGTACCAATATTCGTCGTATTATGTATACGACTCCCTGATGTAGAGGGAGATTTGGAAAGAAATAGGGAGACGGGGAGGAAATTAAATTAGAATAGACGCCGAATAGGTGATAGGATGCGTCAGCATAAACATACTTTGGAAGAGAGATCCCGTCGTTCCCAGGAAACGTCAGGACAGACTTCCCGTCGACTCCAGAACGCCCGTGATGGGCAGAGTCAGCGCCGGTCCCAGGAAACGTCAGGACAGACATCCTGTCCACTCCAGAACGCCCGTGATCGGCAGAGTCAACGCCGGTCAAAGGAAATCAAAGGAAAAAATATATCCATCAGTTCTAACAACATGCACGATGAGCTGGGCAACAAAGCATAGCGTAGGGCCCTGAGCTTGCAAGCTCTCTCGTTTGGTGTTTTATTGGGTGTTTGTTTGTGTCACGCCTGGCGCTATCCCGTATCTGTCCCGTACCGTACCGTACCATCAAAGACAGCTGGCAACAAACAGCTGGCCACAACATTCAAATAGGGTTTTCAAACGCAAGATGATAACGTGAAGCAACTTGGAAGAATGAGTATGAATGCGAAGTGTATCGGGGAATGCACGTAGGGCGATAGTGCGGGTTCGAATTCCAGGTTATGCCTTGAAAAATAAGGAGAATTGAAAAATTTATAACATACTCATGCTTTTTTTGCCTAGGTCATCAAGGCGGTAGACTGTGTCGTACTACCCTCGACCGTACCTGTCCCATACCGTACCATTAAGGAGGCTCCAACCTTCTGCGCTGCGCAGCCGGTCTGGCGCTCTGTTTTTTGCAGGCAAAAGTCTTGTTTTTGCCGATAAGTGCGAAAAGTTGGGAAATTCCCATCTCAACTTACTAAAATTTGAACTCCGCGATCGACAGTCTTATCAGGGAATATTGTTTCATTCTTCACCTGTAGTCTTCCCTGGGCCCCATCGAGGTTCCTGTTGTTTTTTCTTCCATTGTGTCAGTGGGTATCAGGGCATGTTTTCAAAAGCATCGCTGGTGTGAGCAAGAAGTTGACTTCACAGCTCCATTTCTCGAGATCCTGAACAATTTTGCTTGACGAAAAAATGACCAAGGAGAACGGAGCCAAGCGTCTCGATGGCTGTGTAACACCAGGGACCAAAAAAAACCTACTGTAAGCGCGTTTTGGAGAGAGAGATTGAAGTGGGTGCACAGACGCTGGTAAGTGGATCCACTTCTAATTCTCAAGTGGCGAAATATATTGCTACGCTGAAAACATTGCAGTCTTGAGTGAGTGGTAAATCGTTGGTGAGCTACTGCTCAGTGACTTGGGCTATTTACGAAAGCTGTGACCTGTCAGCTGCCAACGTCGCCAGCAGTAAGTCATCACCTGCGTCCACTTGAATAAAATGCAGCACTGAAAATTGAGTATGTTGTTTTGCAGTGTACTATTCTCTATTCACGGTCAGAGTGTGAAGTATTTTTGTAAATGTTGTGTTGTACAGCACCAGTGATTTGAAAATATTCCTACACTACTCGCACCAGTTCTATTATGATGAATGCATGCACCTGTACCCATAAGCACTATGTGCATGCACATACGCAGGCACGCGTGTGAGCCTACATATTGTGTGTGTGCGCGCGCGCGCAGTGCATGTTGTGTGTGTGTGCGCGCGCGCGCACGTGTGCACAAGTGCATGGACAGCAGAATATGGTAACTAAGCTCAAGAGTATGCATTTGCATGTGGGTGTATGCTATTGCGGGTGCGCGTATATGACGTACGTGTATTTGTGTGTGCAAGAGGTACTTGTTTGTGAGCATGTGCATGGAAGCGTACATGTATGTATCAATGTGTGCCATGCGCATGCACCCACATACACTTGTGGTTGTTCCATGTCATTGGGAATAGTGTTATGATTATACCTAATGGGTGCTACAATTACTAGCAGTCGTTCATTGCCAATATTGAGTTGAACCTGCATCTACATTGTACATGTACTACAAACATGAAACTGCCCCCCCCCCCCCAGAATATAATAATTGTTATCCTCCTCAAGCTCTTTGCCTGTTGCTTTATTAGAAATACTAGGAGTGAAATATTGCAAGAGTTGTGATGCAAAGCTGGTCTGAACTGCGCTCAGGGTCAGTAGGCCTCGGCCTGGATCATGAATAACGTTGTGCATGGATCATGCCGATATCCAGATCAAGGGCTAAAAAGCCCAGGAACCATGGCCTCATCTAGTCTCCATGTATACTATAACAATCTGGGGGACCATTCAATGCTTTTGACACAAAAAATTGGAGTAATACCACAAGGAATGCATAGAATGATCACCTTACCTGAAAAATAACAATTCCAAGAATGGTGGAAAATCGGCCAATTTTCTGTCCTATTTTTATTTGTGGAGGTCTAAAATGCACGGTAACCCCCCTAAAAGTATATATTTCTAGTTTCTATGAAGTATGAGGATCCCAAAAATAAAATAAAAAGGGCATGTCCATGAAGAAAATATGAAGCTGTGCACCCAATTGTACTTTGCGGACGGGCATTTCTGCGAAGTTCATTTTTGTACCAAAATTACTATTTTTCTGAGTAGTCAATGCTGATTGCCAGATTTTCTTGCTCAAATGCTTCACTGTGATGTGTGAAAGGACTTGCACTCACAAAGAGAAGCCAGACAACTGGTAAATCTGAAATATGACCCCAAAACAAGCAAATTTAGGCCGAAATCGATAAATACACCCACCCCTAGAAATACACCTCAAACAGCCTTATCTCCGCGGAAACACCCCCTGAATTTTTTTGTGGAGTAACATGGGATGATATAGAGCACACTCATCCACAAAAAGGAGGGGGTTTGTGAAGAAAAAAAATCACCCCCAAAGGGTTGGAGCCTCCTTAAAGACGGCTGGCCACAATATTCAAATAGGGCGTTGAAATGCAAGATCATAACGTGAAGCATCTTGGAAGAATTAGTATGTATGCGAAGTATATCGGGGGATGCATGCAAGGCGATAGTGCGGGGTCGAATCCCAGGTTATGTCTTAAAAAATGGGAGAATATATAGAAATTTTTTTAACATCCCTATGCTTTTTTTGTCTAGGCCATCATCAAGGCAAAAAAGCATAGCGTAGGGCCCTGAGGTTCCAAGCTCTCTCGTTGCATACTCATTCTATACAAACATCAAGGCAAAGGTGAAGGGTAAGGTTCCAAGTCATGTAAGTTGGAGCATTTCACACTGCATCCTATTTTCTTGGAACATTGCTCACCACCTTCGACTTGATGTTTGTGCAGAATGCGTGTGCAGTCGATCCTTTTCAATGCCATAATTATATTGTTCTCTCCCCTTAGACAATAATATAGGTGCACAAAAACGTGTTGTTGGCAGCATTGAGACCACAAGTGTGTGTATGTGTGTGTGTATGTGTGTTTGTGTGTGTGTGTGTGTGTGTGTGTGTGTGTGTGTGTGTGTGTGTGTGTGTGTGTGTGTGTGTGTGTGTGTGTGTGTGTGTGTGTGTGTGTGTGTGTGTGTGTGTGTGTGTGTGTGTGTGTGTGTGTGTGTGTGTGTGTGTGTGTGTGTGTGTGTGTGTGTGTGTGTGTGTGTGTGTGTGTGTGTGTGTGTGTGTGTGTGTGTGTGTGTGTGTGTGTGTGTGTGTGTGTGTGTGTGTGTGTGTGTGTGTGTGTGTGTGTGTGTGTGTGTGTGTGTGTGTGTGTGTGTGTGTGTGTGTGTGTGTGTGTGTGTGTGTGTGTGTGTGTGTGTGTGTGTGTGTGTGTGTGTGTGTGTGTGTGTGTGTGTGTGTGTGTGTGTGTGTGTGTGTGTGTGTGTGTGTGTGTGTGTGTGTGTGTGTGTGTGTGTGTGTGTGTGTGTGTGTGTGTGTGTGTGTGTGTGTGTGCGTGCGTGTGTGCGTGTGTGTCAGCATCAAGTAGAGGGAAGTCCTATGGTTGTCCGTAGTGCAGAGTTGCCACAGCACTATGTCATCTAGACCCCCCCCCCCCCCTCTCTCCCTGCCATCCCCCTTCCCAGAGTATAAGTCCTTTACCAGTGCTATCTAGACAGAATGTCAAGTTCATGACATTACATATGTGTAGCACAATAAATAAGTATACGGGAACAATTTCAAATCTGTACGTCACGGAGAACTTCAAAGTAATAGGAAATGAGTGGCCACATGCCTCGTACTGCTCTTCTTCTCTCCGAAACTCAACACTTGCAAGCCAGATACGAAAGAAAGAAAAAATCACCAGTCACACCTCCGGGACTCGAACCAGGGGCCTTGCTATTCGCGAGCAATGCTCTAACCAACTGAGCTACAGACTGACTCTTATCCACAGTGATGGTAAATCGATCAAGTATCCGGAACAGTTGCTGAAAATTAGGGCTCAAACGGTCACGGTTTTACCCCCAACGGTTAAAGGGGAAGTTAAGGCAAATATTAAAATTTCACCAGTTGTAGTCTTCGGGGTGCTGAGTCGAATGGTCTTGGTCCGAGAAAGCTGAGACGCTCCCTTCCTACTTGAATCCCAATCGAACTCGCGCACTTCCACCGAAACTGGGTGACTGCGCCCTACTAGATGGGATTTGTATGCAAAATGTCACTAAAAGCGCCATTTCGTTCTTATAAAAGCACGGATGACCGCGATTGGCCCATATGTTGTAGTCTTTTGGACGCTGAGTCGACTGGTTTTGATCCGAAAAGGCTGCGATGCAGCGTTCCTCCTTTATTCCCAATCGAACATGGTTGAACAAGTGGTCACGTGCTCCTGTGTGCCCAAATCACCTGGTCACCACGCCAGCAGGCGACAACTTTCACACCAAGGTTCAACTCGAGTTCAACTCGAGTGACAGGACTGCACCCAAAAAAGGTCAAACAGGCTAGTAAGTTGTACTCTGCAGGCACGGTGACCAGGTGACTGGCGTACGCAGGAGCACGTGACCACTTGTTCAACCATGTTCGATTGGGAATAAAAGAGGAACGCTGCATCACAGCCTTTTCGGACCAAAACCAATCGACTGAGCGTCCAAAAGACTACAACATATGGGCCAATCGCGGTCATCCATGCTTTTATAAGAACGAAATGGCGCTTTTAGTGACATTTTGCATACAAATCCCCATCTAGTAGGGCGCAGTCACCCAGTTTCGGTGGAAGTGTGCGAGTTCAATTGGGATTCAAAGAGGAAGGGAGCGTTTCAGCTTCCTCGGACCACGACCATTCGACTCAGCACCCCGAAGACTACAACTGGTGAAATTTTAATTTTTGCCTTAACTTCCCCTTTAACTGCTAAGCTAACGGTCGGTTTAACGGTTATAACCTATAAGCCACGGCAATCCTGCGGACTCTTTTTTAACCCTATATTTGGCTATACTTATTCAAAAATGTACCCTATTCAGTACAACGCACACATGTATATTCTCTTGCATGCTTATTCATACATACTCTCACACGAAGAGACCAGATATGACCGAGTTGACAGCCCAGAAATTGCGTACGCGTGCGGACAGCCTGCGAAAGTGCATACTTTGCAACGACCTGATACTTGAAAAATTGACTGAAAAGTTACTGCGTAACCGTTATTATTTGTTATCTTTATCGGTTAACCGTTAATTCTTCGTAACCGGTCTGCAACCGGTTAATCGGACTAACCGTTTGAGCCCTTCTGAAAATCCAAATTTCTTATTGTAGAAACTGTAGAAAGAAGGAGCCACGGACGTGTGTGATCCCCGGTAGCCTAATCCCTAGGGGAAAGTCTCGCAAAGACAAAGAGCACTCAGTGTCTGCTCTAGGATTTCAGTGTACACATGTGCCCAGCACAACTCTTGGAACCGGGTCAGAGGCTATAGAGTGTGTTCAGGGTCAGGTTATAATGTACATCCAGGAGTCGTAAACGTGCTTTTGCGACTCCCGTATGTAGGCACTGTTTCCCATTCATCCTGGGAAGCTACTTCTAACCGCGCTGCCAACGCGAAGAAAAAGAAGGACCTCCGTGAGTCTTTCACCCCACTGGTGTGTTACACGAATGGAGTGCTGCATCGTGAATATGCCTGGTATCAGAAGCGACTTGCTGGTTGCCTCGCACTCACGTGGGACAAGCCCTTTTCAGTCAAAATGGCTTGGGTGCGAATTCGTAACCAATTGGCAGTGTTCCATGCAGTCGAACTCCGGCTACGCGGGTCCAGAAGGTGCCTGAACGGCCTGTCGGCGCAGGATGGTGCTGGGGTAGGCATCGGCAATTGAGAACTGAATTTCGTCTGTTTCATGTGGAATTTTCTTTCATTTTTTCCAATGTATTGTGCTGGAATATTAATTTTTCTTTCCATGATAATTATCTCTATTTTTCACATCTACATGCCTTTATCTTGCCTGTGAAAGAGGCCGTTACCCCTTCAAAAAAGAAACTGTTTCCGATCAAGCTGGTCCTCCGCCTTGTAACATGCTGTCAACCAACAATATTGTACATGTTTGAACGTACGCGTACTGAGCCCTCTATGCCCACATGCCTGCACAAGCTGCAGCCTGTCACATAATTGTGCAGCATGTCAAGTATAACACGATGTGCTCAACATGACTAGGTCTCCGGACCTGGTGAGAAGGCAGAAATGCCTGTTCACTTGGTGAAGTAAAATAAAATAAACAAACAAACCTCTAAGCGGGTCACTAGGCAACCAGTGTTCGTTATCCAAACGGGTATGAGTACCCCCCCCCCCCTCCCTTAGCAGGTCGACTCGGCTGACCCGGCTCTGGAAGAGACAACAGGGGCGTAACCAGGATAGTGATGAAGGTGGGTGAAACGACTTTACGCACACAAAGTACAATCATGCACTTACTAGTATGTTGGTCCTTTCACGCGTGTTATTAGATCCACAATACGGCAGGGGGGGGGGGGGGGGGGAGGGGGAAGGGGTAGCATAAATAGCCCCACATTTGACGCTGAAGATCAATCAGCGAATGACAAACCTCCGACCAGGGACCCGTGATTATGGTATTTTACTGCTCCCTGGATGCCACTTTCTCCAGACTTGTCACACTCTCCATCGAATTTAAGCCTGATTTCTCAACCCTTTTTTTCTCTTCGCAGTGTTTGATAATGCAGTAAGATACGTACACTATAATAATTACTTCCCACAGAACCGCAAACTGCACTCGAACGCTACTTTCACTCTTCTGCTGCCGTACACACACTTGCAACACATGAAAGAAAGTAAGCTCTTTGCCTTTCCACAACCTCCAACGCCAACACTCAATATCCAGAACTACATTATGCATAACATAGCGCAAACAAACTATTACATGCATGTCTGACGTGTTTGTTTTCCATGGACCGTGTTGCTACGTCTACCCATGACGTGAGTGTATGATTCCTTGCTCCTACCAAAACATTTGGAGTGTGATACAAATCATGTGCCGAATCTACTGAGGTCTAACGTGATACTGTACAACGGCAGGTACGAAGCGGAGTTGCCCTAGACTAGAAGTCTCATTGAAAATGGCCAATCATCAGACAAAATAGTGAACTGCAATTCGGAGCAGGTAGATTGGTTTCAGCAAGAGTACATAACCAAGAGTGTGCAACTCCTATCTTGAGCTGCGATGGGTTCACCCACGGCCTAATTTTTATACTGCGTCATTCTTTGGCTGAAGTATGATCAAGTGCGTACGAGGTGATTTGGCTTTTTTAAACATTTGGCATTTTTAACAAATGTGTAAAATTTGCTTTTCTTCTGGCTGTTTCTCTGCTCCAGATGGCTGTATCGAAACATGGGTGGTGGCAAATGGGAGGCAGTTTATCGTAGATCTACATTGACCAGAAAATTTGGTGCATATAATTTAATTCTCCCTGCCACGCTGGTATAACTAGTGGTGGGTGCTTTGCCATTTTGTGTAAAATGTGTAAAATGAGCCCCTGAATGGATGAGGAGGGCAGTGAATTGCTTCCGCAGGGCCTTTGGACGACGTCAGGCCGTCTTGCCATCACCAGAGACAGTAATGAAGAACAGTAGGTCACGGAATGCACTCTGTGAGAACGAAAACATCGCTGCGATGCTATGCTATCTATCCAATTCCACCGTATAACACAGCCACTAGTTACAAATACAAAAACACGGCTTTCGCAGCATACAATGCAGTTCACTCCTCTGTTGACAGATTAATTTTCATCCACTAGCAATCCTTGAAGTGATATCTATCAACTTCAGAACATTGATGACCGAATATCCCAGTTTGTGATGCCATTTTACAAATTTGTTAAAAAATGACACACCAATTATTTGAATCCTGAGAATACTGTGAAAGTAGGACATGATTCAAGACACTTTCCAAAGTGGGATCATTCCCATATTTGGACACAACGGGCATGAAGAATAGCACTTCCACTTGCAACAATTCATTTGGACGTAGCTTGTCTAGAAGTGACTGAAAAAAACGTCATTTTACAACCATGTTAAAAAAAGCCAAACCACCTCGTATGCTTTCCCGCGCATTTTTTGTAGCTACTGTGAGAGTTCACCAAGTTCAGGACACATCGATCTATCGTCCGTTGTTCTGCTTCGACTACCGTAACTGTGATGTACAAATTCTTTGTACTTTGATCTCTGGCTACGCATGATGGCATTAGCGAGCCAAAAAGACTGATGTCATAAAAAAATTCCACCGTGAGCTGGGGGATCGTCGAGTTGCACACTCTTGGTTATGTACTCTTGGTTTCAGATGTTAGAACGCGTGTACCTTGGTCTGAACCAGGGAGTAGTACAATACCTACTACTCACTGGTCTGAACAGGGACTGTTACAGTACGAGATGTACAGAGTCGCACATGTGATCAGGGGTCCGCGGATTATGGTCTCTTTCGAACCAGCTGCGACCAAAGATCGGAATTTTTGAGAGGGGTGCTTTGGCACCCAAAGCACCCCCCCCCCCGGACAATGAGTCCCTTCCATTAATAATGGCATTATGCTCCCAATCGATTCATTGAAATCAAACTGCAAGAGTCCATTCATGAATCGATTGAACGCACTCACTGATGCTCGGTCAAATCCAGCTTGTGCTTTTTTTGCAGCACAACTACTACCAGGAGACACTTATACACTTAGCACAACCATCTGACATTGTCTGTGCGAGGAGTTTTGCATTATAAAAATTACGTCGATTTGAAACTCTGAAAAGGCAGCCCAGCAGGAGGGGTTGCATGCCCCCTGGAGACGGAAATCTGGACTCTCCCTTCTCTCAGCAATATTTTCAAAGACTCACCCGTACATATTCCAGTCACGACGAGCAGATCTTGATGAACAGCCGCCACCGCTCACCTACCACCCGGCCATTCCTGCCTGCCCACAAACGACGACATAACGAGTGCCGTTCTCCAAAGATGATGTGATCCAGCACAGTACATCGACGACGAGTCAGCATTCACCATCTGCAAATCGTCTCCAGAGCAGCAGCTTATCAATCCGCTTCCGTTGCCCGTTTCCGTGTACACTTCTCGAAAGTTTCGACACATCGCAAGTCAACTGCAGTTTGTCGCACAGACAACAATACTGAATACTAGCAGGTACTAGGTTGGGGAAGTAGCTTCGCAAGAAAACCGTTTCCGCTAGCACACCTTCCCACGACATTATCGTGGTCCATTTGATGTGGCGATCACGAGTAGTACATATCCAGAAGGATGGCATAAGTCCACGACAGTGGCCGGCACAGGGTAGATATTCACTTCACAAGGTGAGCGAAGACAGGGCGGCAAATGTTTTATTTGTTCCAATAGGTTCATCCACATCTTATAATTATCTTGAAAATTAATAGTAACTCCAGGTATAGTTCGCAGTCGACGCTATAGCGTGCTGCTAAGTACTAGGAATAGCGCTGAAAACAGTATTGGACTTTCCAGGAGCGGACAGGAGTGAGTGTGCCGGAACAACTGATCACTTCTCAAACACAACATGCCGAATCAAATACAAGAAATACCTCACTTGCCAAAGAATTGACACAATGAATTCCTCAAATCCTGCACTAGACTGGAAAATGCTAAACTACTAAAATAATGTAAAATGACGTACTTTGGGCATCGCCCGTGATAACGATGCAGCGGTCACACATACATGTAGACTACGACTCGTACTGTGCTCCTCAACGCTCCGCTTTGGCGGAGAGAATGCAAATGCAGCACGTCCTATAAAATTTTAGATATTCTTGTCCGAGTTGAAGCGACCTTCGCTTGTACAAGTAGAGCTATCGTGGATCGCTGACAGGCTGCTGAATGTCTCATGTCAAGTACACTCGTGGATTTGGGGCACATTCACTGCGGCCCAGCACGGGTGTATTTGAATATTAGTTTAGTTTACATCAATATCAAATTCAAATAGTTTTATAGCAGGGTGTCGTTGCCTCCTCCATGATCCATCATCGACCCAGCGACTGCGTGGATGCCTGCAGCTGCAGTGAGGGTGTGGCAGAGTACTCTACTACTCCCTGGTTGCAGTCCTAGTGTTGCATACTCTGGTGGACGTTTGCTTGGAGAGAGAAGGAGAGAGTTGGAGATCGTCCGCGATCGGGGCCAATGACTCGTTGGGAGACGGATTCGGAGTTATTCCCTCACCAACACTCATAACGATGCAGTATTGCTCGCGAGATCTCCAGAACGTACAGTTCATTGGCAAAGAAGCCTTGAACAATATGAAAACTGAATACCAAACGGCAACCAAACAACACCAGAACTCAGTGCAGAAGTAGCACACCAAACTCCAAAGCCATCACCATGCAGGTTCCGCCAAAGCGGAGGGTCCGCTCGCATTTTTTTGGCGTAGCGAAATCCAAACTTTCCGCCAAAGCGTAACTTACGCCTCCGCCGTTGCCGAGGCAACGGCGGAAGCGTAAGTTACGCTTTGGCGGAACCGCCAAAAAAAGTGCATGTGTGACCGGGGCCTTAGTCCTAGCACTGGTACCAGCTCGGATCGGCCCCAGCTGATGCATGATGAGGAGGCCTAGGCAAATAAAAAAATAGTTCACAGAGTCTCCGGGGTCATTTTAGACTTCTACTTCTAGAATCGGGAACAAGACTTGTACTTGTAGTACATGTGTGTGGTAGTTCTAGTAGCCTACACAGTAAAACTAAAAGATCTTGGGTAGACTCAGTAGATGCTGCTGGCGTAGATCTACGCGTTGCTACCGTGGAGCTCTCAAAATCATGCGCACTTGTCTTTTTCACGCCCCACATGCATACTTTCAAGTCAGTTTCAATCAGTTTCAGGTTCACGATATCGATAGCCCTTTCGTGATGTCGAAATTAGGGGTGAAACGGTTCCATGTTTTTCATGTTCGGGTACCCGAATGCCAGCATTGTTTCCCACGGTTCGGGTATCGGTTCCATGCACTCTTTTCTCCAGACCGAAAAAATGCGTTCGCGACAATTATTTTTTAGAAAAAACATTTTTACGAGCAAAAATGAGCCATCGGAGAGTCCAAGTGCGAAGAAGATAATGACCATGATGACCAGAGAACTCTTTGGAAGAGTGGGGATCGTAAGGTAAGACATTTTAAAATCTTGAGTAGACTTGACGTGTACATGTATTTGTACAAGAACGAGATTTTTCGAGTTTCGGTTCGAAATTTGACGGAACGGGTACCCGAATCTTTTCAGCTGGCGGTTCCAAAACCGGTTCCTTACCCGAACCGTTTCACCCCTAGTCGAAATCGATATCGCCGGCCGGCCAATGACTTGATCAGCATGATCAAGGCATGATCAACGATTAGCAGGCAGACTCCCCAGCCGCGCGGCGTCGCATTCTACCGATCGCGAGGATTTCACGACTACACCAGTCTGGACGAATTTTGTTTGGACAATCCATTCCTGTCGCCAAAAATCCTCCTTTCGCCGTTTTTCGGCCGTCAAATCAAAGAAACCCAGTTTCAGTGATGCCGTAAACTGTTACTTTCGTTACTTCGGAAGTGCAGGTGATCACAACACAAGTGACGTGTGGGATTGTCCACGTGCTCACGTCACGTCCCATTTTTGTCAAAGGATGTGCATGTACATGACTGACCGGTACAAACCGTTTCGTCCTATGTATGACGTCCCATTATGATTATACATGATTGTAGTACGCGGCATGCACCACGTGACTAAGACTAAAAAAGATATCGGCTGGAGTGACGTCGGTGCCACGGCGGATTGACAAACTACTTGTATCCCGTATGTGCCGTAGTACCATGCATAGTACATAACCCGTATACCCATAAAGTGAACATGTATCTACGGTGGGTGTCTTGATGCCTTCTACAAAATAGTCCATCGGCCAAATCTCAGAAAGGGCCTCTTTCGGCGAAGGTGATGCACTGAAGCTCCAACTAAACGCCCTTTGGCACACTAGCTCATGAGACCCCATAGAAAACGAATCCGATTGTTGGACGTTGCCAATCCAGTCCAGGATAGTCGAACTGGGTCGAACACCTTCTTCCGATTTTCGTAATTTCGTCCACCATTACATCTTTCTCATCGACTTTTTTCGCTTGGCGAATGTTCTTGAGCCGCTGAGCAGAATCTACGCACGCTTGAACACTTGAAATGCCTGCATGTTGACGTTTCGCAAGATTCTAGCGAGCTTGGTGGAAATCTATTATTTATTTTGACATTTTTTGGGGAATCTGAATTAGAACGGTAGAACTAGAAGCTCATTCGGAGAAGACGGCGTGTCGCCGCTGTCGGATTGTCGCTACTGTGTTTCAGACGTATTTGCTTGAACGTGCTATTGAGGATGGACAGAAGATGAAGTGACGGCTTTCTTGAACACGGACGTTTTGTCTACATTGTAGCTGAAACATCTCATCTGGCGTCTAGAACGCAATTATTATGAGTTGTGAGTGCCAGCTGAGCTGAACACAAGCTGGACACCATTCGTCAGCTGGGAGCTCTTGATAGCCACGATAAGCATAATTATACAGAGGTAACCTTGTTTGACTCAATACGCATGCAGGTGATACATGTACCACTAGTGGCACTACAATGTAAATGGTGCAAAATTGATGCAACAGCGAATATGTACTTCGTACAATCACGAAGGCAAGTGTTCATGCATGTCATAGAAGAATTTCAGCCCGGAAGTCTTGTTGTCATGGTCATAAAATAATACAGGACTTGAGTTGGCTCTGGACATAAACACACTTGTGGTGAATACGGTCATTATTGCGAGAAAAATATTTAGCCATTGTATGTTAACACCTGATACCGCACTACAAGCAATATTTCATGTACATGTATGTGAGACTCAAGGCCGTAGATGACACAAGGCCGTAGATGCATGTAAGCACACAATGCTGTACAGTATACTTGTAAGTAGTAGTCGACATGTGGTGCCTTCCTGCTGCACATGCACATGCGGAAAGTTGGCAACGACACATGACCTATCTGCACCGCACAGCGTGAGCTTAGAAAGGAATATTGCACACATAGTGCTATTTGTGTTCCGATATCGCATGTACTAGTATCCTTATACATGTACCTGGTCACTCCATACTATAGGCGATGCCGACTGTACTAATCTTATCCATATTACCCGATAGGCTATAGCACACTGCGTCAGATCACTATGCAACAAAACAAGAGCTTTGGAGCGAATATACACTGAAGCAAAGTAGGTTTCAACGGTACAGCACTAGTCACGATGAGGGGAGTTACGAGGATGGTTAGGTCGTGACACATAGATGATGATTGTTAATGAATCATGCACGGTGGAAAATTACCACCAATGGCGATGATATTGCTTTCACAACAATGACACAACCTTACTGCTCCAAGTAGGATTTACAAGCGAGTGAAGGGAGAGCAGACTGGTCTAATAGCAGACCGGGTCTAAGCAAGGAAGTAATCGGCATCAGAGGTGAGCTTGCACATCAGAAAACAGATGATGATCACCAAACACAGAGAAGTTGGCTATGTGTATGTTTGTGTCACTGTGTGTGCATGTGTGTGTGTGTGTTTGTGTGTATGCGCGCACATCTGTGTGTGAGAGAGAGGCAGACAGACAGATAGCATATGGTGGGAGAGATTAAGGTCTGACCTCAGAGTTAAATGCTGACGGTGTGGAATAGCAACAGTGCGAAATCGGGCAGGGTGGTTAATGGCCCACACTGGAGCCGAGCAGGAGCGCCAGTGGTTGAGGGCTAACACAGGAGTAGCAGCAGCTCCAGCCTAGGAAGATCAGCTTCTGGATGAAAATCTCCCGGACACAGTAGGTACCAAGCTTCACTAGCAGATTGCCGGCAGGGGTGCACGGCGAGCACCCGTACATCCCTCAAGCCACCAGAGCCGCAGTACTTGGACACGATCCAGGTGCTTACCCGCCAACAATGCTGAGAAGGCACTGGAGCCATACAGGAACGTATGATCGAGCATGACCACAGACTTGAAATACAGGGTCCGGCGTTGAATACTGAGACAGGGACGTCTCCTCCACAGAACACCACTCAGCCCCACCATTGCATTATTTTCGCTTTTCATGATTTTTACAATTGTGTTAGAGCACACAGCACTCGATGCAACATTCACCAGTGACTAAATAACTCCGCGTCTCCGACCATAACTGCAGCGTTCCCGTGAGCCTGTGGCATTTCCGTCAGCCTGTTGAGATTATCTTCATCTCGTCACATGTGAGCCTGTGTGTTTCATCCGTATCGTGGCACAATTACACAGACACGATTTCCAACTCAGGCCGGTTCCGTTGCTCGAAGGGTTGGCGGTAAGAATTGCTACGCCGTCTGTGGCTGCATGGGAACTTGGCGAGTCGTCGTCTTTCTCCATAAATCCTGATTGTCACGCGAACAACAGCCTATATTGCCTAAAAACTACGACACAACAGCATCAAGCTCGCCCCAGCAGAAGGACACGAATGACGAGCGCTAAGACGGAGAAAGAGAGACAGGGTTAGCGAGAGCTGACTAGTGCAGGTACGCTGTCATCTCCTGAGGTGGTGGGCGAAGCAGCGAAGTGAAACGAAGGAAGATACAACTTATTAGAAGGCCTACGGAGGCACCTAAACCTATTGCCTGTCACATACTAAGTGCCATTTAGGGTTGACAGCTGTCAGCTGACAGCCTCAAAAATTTGAAAATCTGCTCAAAAAACTCTCGATCAGAACTCTGCGCACTCTCAAATGGAGCGCACAGTAAAAAACTCGGCGACGAAGAACGCTTCGTATCGACGCCCTGGACTGAATTCGGCACGTCCAACAAACGGAATAGTGTTCTCTGATATATTCTCTACGTGCTGGGTATGGTCGCGTTTAGTTGGAAGCTCAGTGCATCACCACTTTCGATTTTGAGACTTGGCCGATGGACTAAAAGAGTAGTTAATAATCTACTCTTGCTTCTACTTGAGAACGGGTTTACACAAGGCAGAACAACACTCCCACAGAGATCAAAAATCTTTCTCGTTACTCCGAGTTTCGTGTTTCAAAAAGCACTCATCCCACCATGAGAACGGGTTTGTTCACAACACCAATCGCGTGTCAGTAAGAACCAAACAAAAGAGACAACCTACATTAGGTAATAAATAGAACACTCAATTGAAATGTAAGATTGAACACAAAGGCTTGACAAGAAATCGCTACCAAATAGAATTGGCTGCTGGTAGCCATTTCCTAAAGGTGCTCGCCCTTTTTGGCCCTTTTTGGAAATGCCCGTTTCTTTCGCCCTTTATTGCGTTTTTCGGTGAATATCGCCGTTTTTTAAACTTTTTTAGCTGAAAAACTTGAGTGCTAAAATCTGTTCGCTCATGCATGCGATCACAGTTTCCGAGTGCTCACTGGGCCTTGGCACGCCGCTTTTTTGGGGGGGGGCAACAAGTTGGTGAAGCTTATACACAATGCTGTAAAAAAAGGGTTTTTGAACTTTATTTCCTGTTTTAATTTTGCCTTTCGTGTATCATGTCATGGCTATGCTTCACTGAAAAAAGAGCACCATTTGCCTGTTTTCACTGAAAAAAGAGCACTTTCTCAGCATACTTTGAGGGACGCGAAAAGCACTAATTGCGAATTAAAACAGCACCTTTGAGAAAGGGCTAGCTGCCGGCATGCAAATGCGCCTCTGCTCGTATCAACACACAGCCGGTGGTAATATGCTGCAAAGGGGTTGATGACCTATGCTGCAAAGGGGTTGGCGACCTTGCAGGCCCATCGCAGCAGGAAAAACGAAACCCGGGTGCGTAACTCTCCCATCACGGCAGAGCACACCAAGGCTTTGTTTTTGTCTACAATCAAAGCCTAGCAGTTACCGACTTCAGAAATACATGTATACTGTACATGCATACTGTTAAACCGTAAAGTCTAACGACCAAAACGTTGAACGGTTTAGTAACGTTAAAGAATGGTAAAGGACAAAATGTTACGAGTTATGACAAACTGTCCACCAACGTTGGTGGACAGTTTGTCATAACTCGTAACATTTTGTCCTTTGCCTTTCTTTATCATAACTATAATTATTGGCTCACCGTCCGAGTTCAAGTTTAGTAATGTTGGCATGATTACGTGCAAAAAGTTTAAAGATGGCTACCTGGCCACCCGGTACCCATCTGTATGCGCATCTTTACACAGACATCTAGCGATAACGGTCTTTTTCAAATAACGAAAAACGAGAGAGCTTGGAAGCTCAGTGCCCTACGCTATGCATTTTTGTCTTGATGACCTAGACAAAAAAGAATAGGGATGTTATAAATTCTTATAAGTTTCTACTTTTTGTTTTTAGACATATTAAACCTGGGATTCGAACCCGCACTATCGCCCTGCATGCATCCCCCGATACACTTCCCATACATACTAATTCTTCTAAGTTGCTTCACGTTATGATCTTGTATTTGAAAGCCCTATTTGAATAATTATGCATTGTGGCCAGCCGTCTTTGATTGTACGGGATAGGTACGGGACAGGTACGGGACAGGTACGGGACAGGTACGGGACAGGTACGGGACAGGTACGGTCGAGGGTAATACGCACCGTCTACCACCTTGATGACGGCAAAAAAAGAAAAGGGATGTTATAAATTTTTCAATTATCCTATTTTTTCAGGCATTACCTGGGATTCGAACTCGCACTATCGCCTTACATGCATTCCCCCATACACTTCGCATTCATACTCATTCTTATTCAAAACCTCCCTTTTATGGAATTGTCTCCCACCCACATTGACTTCGGAATCTTCTGTCCATGTATTCAAGAGAGAGCTGCGCAAACATTCTTGTCAGTATTCAGGTCTACTCGCTGGCATGCCGTTACCCTGTTCATCTGTTCATCTCGGCATATCTTTCATAAACCAGTCCAGTCTTCCGAATTGAAAATATCTAAATTGATCCGCACACTGGTGGGCAAACACAGAATGGTAGAATACCTAAGCAAAAGCAGCGCGAGAGCCCTGAGGTGGCAGCTCTCACGGTAAAGACCGACTATAATGGTTGCCTGCAACCATATCCCTGATGCGGTGAACGGTACCTACCGAAATTCACAATTTTCAATTCGAATTTTCCCAGGAGGATTGTACGATGTGAGTGTTGACACCTTGGCACAATAGTGTAGTGCGGACGAACGTCCGTGTGCATTTGAAGTTTCTCCACTGGGGACATGGACTTGAACCCACACTTCGCGTGCTACAGTGCATGGCATTGCGCTAAGAAATCTTCACCTGGACCTTGTACTCGTGTAGGGATGTGAGTATGTAGTGACATACGCGTGCATGATGGCACAGAATTTGGCCTGGCTATAAATTTTCCCATCGCGAAATGCTGCACGTCTTTCTTGGTAGCTCCTTTGTCGGGTCCTTACTGATAGCAATTGTCTGGATGTCTGGTGTGAAGTTTTGCCTGATAATCAAGTTGTAAGACACGTTGAGTTGACAATTTCTTCTGATTTTAGTGATGGATAACTTATGTAAACTGTTGAATGTTCCTGTGCCCTTCACTCACCAACACGCTCGACTACCGAGAGTGTTCCACAACAGCGATGCTTCAGCCAGCTATGTCACCATCGAGAATGGTCGATTGGGAGAAGGTGCGTTTGGCACGGTATTCCACGCGAAGTGCTCGAGAACGTCCCGAGCCGTGGCAGTTAAAGTCAGCGAGTACGAAAACGCGGCCGGTTTTGATCGCGAAATTGAGTTTCTGAGACGGATTGGCCAGGCCGGAGGGCATCCTAACGTTATCGAATTAGTGGACGTGGTCGTCGAAACGCATGACTTCCTCGCAGATGATCTACTCCTGCCCGTTCTTAACAAGTGTGATAAAGATCTAGAAGAGTGGATGAAAAGCACCAGCGAGCCAGTCCCGGAGTTCGTGCGAAAAGAGATTTGCAACCAGCTGTTCGCTGGTCTTGCCTTTCTGCACGAGCATCACATCATTCATCGCGACTGCAGTCTCCGAAACATTTTAGTGTATAGCTACACTGGTCTGCTGAAGATAGCCGATTTCGGAATGTCTGCTTACGAGTCGGAACTTGGTGACGAGTCCGATCATTACATTGCTCGACGGCGTGACGTCAGAGATATGACTATGGCAGTTGTTATCCCATTATGGCTTTCTAGAAGCTATAGCACGAGGAAGTGGCCTGGTAAAACTGTGAGCGTGACGTTTGAGAACGAGAATGTCGCCACTGTCAGCATGATGAACCCGGATCTGCTCGCCGAAGCAGAATACTACACGGCGTTTCGATATCGATCCAGGGTATGCAACAAGATGCTGGGTCACGCAGCCAACAGTCCTGGCTGGTGGCGACAGCAGATGCACTTGCACCCGGGCCTGGACGCAGTCATCAGTGAAGTGCACTCCTGGGCGCTGTCACAGAGCGATGTTGGTAAACGGGGAATGCCCGTGCCAAAAGAACTGCACGAAGCCCTGGCCTACGGGTGTATGCTGGGCCCTTCACACAGGATAACTGCTGAGGTTATTCACTCGCTAATAGGTGATACTTTAACAGACACAGTCACACACGATGCACGACTTTTCATGCGGACAGAAACAGTGCTAATGAACTCAACTGTAGTTTAACAGACACAGTCGCAAACGATGCACGACTTTTCATGCAGACAGAAACAGTGCTGATGAACTCAAGTGTAGTTTAACCTTTAGTTGTTGTTGCTGTGGTTCCTATTGCTTTGTTGCTGTTGCTCTTGTTGCTGTTGTCGATGTCTGCTGTTGTTGCTGTTGTTGATGTCTGCTGTTATTGCTGTTGAATCTTTTCGTCGCTTCAAAAATGAAAATAAACTTTAATAAATCGACAGAAAGGAGGACCGAGGATTAAACATACGCGATACAGAAGCAAATTATGAGAACTAAAATGATGATGAACATGCTAGATCTTGCAGCTGCCGAGAACGGAAATGTCAAGTTGATCATGTCGAGATAGGCAAAGAAGGGAGTTGCGCGCAGTTATCTAGTCAATGCAGAATTATTATACATGTAGGTCTGCCAAGTCGAGACGTTCAAGGGCTGTCTTCTATGCTGATGGGTGAGGAAGGAGTGTACCAGAGGGGAGAGAGAATTCCAGAACAAAGAACCATCCAATTGAATAATGGCCCTGCCAGCGTGACCCCACCAAAAGGAGATAGCCAGGGGATAGGTCTGCTGCTCACGAGTGACCAGGGAACGAGAATTGTTAGCAGCAGATAGAAAATGTGTTTGAAACAACACACCACTCTTGCCGTGCAGGCATCGATGAACAAAAGACAACACTTTCCGGGGGGGGGGGGGGGGTGCAATCTGAAAATAGGGTGAATATTTAACTGCGGAAATAGTGCATTTCGCTTGATTACTTCACAGAAATTCAAAACAAGGACAATTGAATTTTCCCACTCCAATTCCCTCACACCTATGAACATAATGGAAGACTTTGAGAAAAAAAGGTGTGAAAATTGGTTCTTTCATCTCGGGAATAATCTAAATGTAAAACTACTTCATTCATCTCGACCCAGAACACTTCTGTGTGAGGGCTTTGATACAGACCAGAAATGAGTTGCAAACATTTCAACATAGCCTTTCTACCAGGATCCTTGAGTCGCAGGTTACATCAGTTTTACTCTTCGGGAGTCCAGCCATATTCTGGCATCTACCATCAAATTCAGAATGGGCGAGCATGCTGACGGCCGCGTACAAGGTACACGCCTTGAAAGCATAATTACAGCGCCCATCTCTACATGTATGGCAGTCTATTTTACGGGCAAGATAAACTCATCCAATATGTTTCTCTAAAGTGTTCCGCAAAATTTCAACTTATTTTAAGTTTAAAACACAACAGCATGGCACGGACAGACTTCCTTAGATAACTACCAGCAAGAGTAGATAAACTACACTTGCTAGCAGGAATTTAGTTTTGCAGTCCAATGTCATAGACAGAGGGACAGTAAAACTGTGGTGCCCTTGACACCGTATAATATTCCGATGCCCGGGCCTCTGCCACCGTTAATGCAGTATAGATGCATCACCCACAGCCAAGGCGGGTTACCAGCTAAATAGCCTTCTGCATCCACGCAGGCACATATCGCAGGACCGAAACAGGGAGAACGAGATCATGCACCTGATGAAAGATATCACGTGTTCACTTTTCTTGGCTGCCAGCACTACCACCAAGAGTACATAAACCCTGTTATGTACTCTTTATACCACCATAACAAACAAGAGCCCCTATCTAAATGCACCTATCTGTATATCTGTTACAACATTAAAAGATACGACGAAGTCGCAACTTCTAAGTTCGTATTAAAAGATAGTTTCGTAAATTCTAAAGCAGCTACTTACCCATTTAAAGTTTCTTCTGCTAAAATAACCCTGTCTCTTCACTTAGAATTACTTTCTATTCCACCAAACATCCGGCGTGCCCTGGGTAGAATGCAAAACCATGCGATGAAGAGAGATTGCAATTGGTGTTGGATAAGTCAGGATCTGAAAAATAAACTGAATCAAAAGCGAAATACCCAAATATTTTTACCATTGTGAAAGGTCAGCTTTATATTAAATTTTGTGGGTCACACAAGGTCTGGCAGACCACTGCCAATCAGTGCATTTTCACGAAATGCTCATATCGAACGATGCAAAGAAGTAGTAAAGGAGAGGATGAGAATGGAGAGAATAGACGAGGACGGATAGATTATGAGATGAGGTTGCAGATCGCATGAGGTGCGCGTTGTTCGTTCTCATTTTGGCACCTCAAGCATATTGTAGCTGGCGCTTATGGCGCTATAACTAAATTAACTTGAAGCTTAGATCATTGTTTCTGCCAGGTCTTGCGTTACGACACACAGGATTAATGGACAAATAGTACAATATACAAGGAGTCTTCTCTGGTCCATTCTTCACCAAGAACTTGCAACATTTCAAGGTTGCAGCCAACCGCTATTTGAAAACCAACGACTGCTCGTGGGCACATGACCATCTCTGAGTATTAGCATCATATCCGCCTCATCCCATGACTTTCAAATTCCGGTCCACATACGTCTGTTCTCTGTTCTTCTTTTCTCTCTTTCTTCTCATAACACTGGCTGTTTTATCTTTCCCTCCTTCAAATGTACTGTCTCTCCTCCTAACAATTCATATAATGTACCTGGCACTCCCTTCCTTTGTTCCTTCTTCTTTCTTTTTGGTGCGTTTTATGTCCCCATCACGTCGAGACCTGAGGTCGACTGAGGGCAAAAAGCCTCACCATCACTATGCGACCACTATGCAATTTCTTGTCTTTGCCTGTGACCTGTGATCATTGTAAAAACAAAAGCATTTCCCAGGACTTCTTGATTCAGTATGAACCGCTTCTATAGTAATCATCTTTATTGTTCAATCCACAAAATGTGATTCAGAAAGTGAAGAACCATTGGAGGTAAAATATCCATTGGAAATATGAAAAGATGTTATTATGCCTTGCCAGCCGGCGCGGCTATTATTTATTCAAGTATGAACCCAGAAAGGTGCAGGCAAATATTATTATTGTATTACATACCCACAGTATAACTGCAGCCGGAAGATAGTAGTAGTAGTAGTAGTAGTACTTCGAAGTATTATTATTATTCTATTTATTTCTATTTCGATCTATTTATTTTTGCCCATACAAGAGGTTTTTGAAAATAGTAGTATTAGTAGTAGTAGTAGTGAAGATTAGGAGTAGTAGTAGCAATTGCATACTCGTATTGTATCAGGACTCGTACGCGCTGGCCCGACCACGGGAGGCCACAAAAGGCAAGCAATGAGAGATGTCTGACGAGATGCTAATCTGTGATTCCACTGTAAGACCGGTTTCTGCGTTCAGCTTCCATTTTCATAATTTCCTTTCCAATCTACCTCTCTTTTCCTCTCTTTTCACTTCTTTCACATCTTACTGTTCACGATGGAGACGACATTTCCATCCGCTGTAAGTCGGGGAACTCCGAAGCATCTGCCACTGCCCCGGCTTTTCTGCAGTGTTGAAGGAGGTGGCAAGTATTGCGAGGTCCAGAACGGAGGTCTCGGTCAGGGAGCCTTCGGCGAGGTAATAAAGGCACGAGGACTCCGATCGCTGAAGTATGTGGCGATAAAAGTGCGGACCTGCTCTTCCAAGTCGAATGTTGCCCGTGAGATCAAATTGATGCGTCATGTACGTGCGTCTGGTGGGCACATAAACGTTCTGAAGCTTCTGGACGTTGTGCAGAACGTTCGCGATCGCGACGCAGGCGAGTATGCGGTACTGCCCAAGTGTGACTTGGACCTCGAGAAGTGGAGGAATACCGTGCACGGCGTGATTCCAGCCTACGCCAGGACAGAGATCACCCGGCAGTTATACGCAGGCCTATCGTACCTGCACAAGGTCGGCGTGATCCACGGCGATCTGACCCTCTGGAACATCCTAGTATCGGGCAACCAGGGTCAGGTCAAGATCGGTGATTTCGGCGTGTCTCGCCGGTGTGCGGACTGGGACGAGTCGCACATTGCTCTGCGTACCGACGTCAAGGAAATGACATTTGACATCGTCATTCCTTTCTGGCTGCACCGCGCCTACAACAGCATCAAGAGGCAGCGCAGGAGTCACTTTCTCGACGCCGGCAACGACAGCCAGCTAGTAGGCAGCACAGAGTACTTGCTCACCAGCCACCCGGACAGACTGTGCACGAATATCTATGGTGATGTCAACGACGACGACGAGAACTGGGCGCAGAAAATGGAGAGCACCCCTGGGCTGGAAGAAATGGTCAAGGAAATGCATGCTTGGACGCTCAGCCAGCCAAACCCGCTGAGGAAGAGCGTGACCGTGCCGGCTAAACTCTTAAAGCCACTGCGCTACGGATGTCTGCTTGGGCCCATCAGAAGGCTCCACGCCCAAGACATCTCGGCTATGCTTAGCCTCCTTGTAAGTGAACCAGACAGGAAGCGAGCGCAAGATTACATCTACAAAGCCACCTACACTATTTGCCAATCCACCGCCCTATAGTCACTGACTTGAAACTTGCTATTATAATAATATATTCCACAAGAGAGATTGGAAGGTTTGTCATAACTCTGAGGTTCTCGTATTACTACGATCATCAGGCAACTGATGGCTCCAAAACGGGCGGCCAGAACATAAGGGGGAGCAAGGTGGGAAATTCTGAGGGGTATCATAGGCGACGCGTATCATAGCGCAAGAGTCAGGTGCAGGCGTGAAGTTGTCAAGTCTTCACAGTTGGGTCTATGCAGCAGCAGTTCCGGCGTGAATGATAGAGAATAGAGCTGGGGACTTAAAATGCGAAATCCATACATGTCGACACCATTACACACACATACACGCACACTCTCTCCCTTTTCTCACATACACATACACTCACACTCGCACATACACATACACTCTGACTCACCCGCGCGCACACTCACACACACACACACACACACACACACACACACACACACACACACACACACACACACTCATTCATTCTCTAAATCTCACACCCACATCCACACCCACACCCACACCCTGACACACACACAAACACACACACACACACACGCACACTCTCTCTCTCTCTCTTTCTCTCTCTCATTCATTCTCTAAA